GCCTCCCTTCTTTCCCCCCTTTTCTCTCTCTCCTCTCTGTTTCTGTCCCTCTAACTCAGGGCACAGGAAGGTAGAGTCTCATGTATCCCAGGCTGTCCTCAAATTCCATATGTAGCAGAGAATGAGCTCTTACATTTTGGGATTATAGGCATGTGCCACAATGCTTGGTTTATATAGTGCTGGGGGGATCAACCGGAGCTTTGTCCTCACTAGGAAAGTACTCTATTGACTGAACTATATCTTCTGCCCAGTTTCTCCCAATTAAAAGCTTTGTTATTTGTTCCTTTCCTCCTCCTCTCCCATCCCTCCTTTCAATTTTTTCCCGTTTTTCTTTTTCTTTCTTTTTTTTTTTTTTTTTTTTGGTTTTTCGAGACAGGGTTTCTCAGTATTGTTTTGGAGGCTGTCCGGGAACTCGCTCTGTAGACCAGGCTGGCCTCGAACTCACAGAGATCCGCCTGCCTCTGCCTCCCGAGTGCTGGGATTAAAGGCGTGCGCCACCACTGCCCGGCCTTCCTTTCAATTTTTTGAGATAGGATGTCATTCTATAGACCAGGCTGGGCTAGTATTCACTCTGTAGCTTAGTCTGGCCGCAAACTTGTGGCAATAGTCCTTCTTCCGTTTCCTAAGTGTTGAGATTACAGTTGTGAACCACCACGCCTGACAGTACAGTATTTCTTCACATTTTCAGTAATTACCCCAAAAGAAAAATCAACAATGAAAAACCAGACACAAGATGGCATTTACAGGGGGCTGGAGGGATGGCTCAGAGGTTAAGAGTTCTGACTGCTCTACCAAAGGTCCTGAGTTCAATTCCCAGCAACCACATGGTGGCTCACTACCATCTGTAATGAGACCTGGTGCCTTCTTCTGGCCAGCAGGCGATACATGTAGGCAGAGCACTGTATACATAATAAATAAATAAATAAAAAATAAATAAGTCATAGCCATTGTGCAGTATATAGGAGTCTAGCAACCTTGTCCTAGAGCAGGTTGTTGGTGGGGGAGCTGGTTGGTTCACCACAACTATAATTCCCATCTCCTAGATAATAGTTGGTGGAAGAGACTGTGATGGGTACAGCTATTACCAGAGGTATGGAAAAGGGTTCCAGGGACATCGCCTATACTTCCCAGGGGAAATAGTCCCTGCTGTAGATGAAGGTACCCCTGCCCCAGGTCACATTGGAAGTCTTGGTCTCTGGCATGACTGTATTTGGAAACAAGGCCATTATGGCTCTGATTAGTTGGGATAAGGCCATGTTGGAGCAGGATGAGCCCTATAAGTGAAATGGGGGAAAATGGACATACTAGAAGAGTGCCATGGGAAGTTGAAGTTGGAGGTTCATGGTATTTCTATAAGACAAGGATGACCAGTACATGCCGAAGGTGGGACAGACTGGACAGATTTTCCCTCATAGCCTGGGAAGGACCATCCTGCCCTATCTGCATCAGGGGTTTCTGTCTCCAGCCTGACCTAGTCAAATGTACTGTTGAAGCCTGTTTGCTTTCCTTTGTGATAGTGGTCCCAGGGAAATGGTCAGACTTTCCTAGTCACCTGTACTGAAGGCTGTAGTAACTGCCCTATTATAGCACAGGCAAAGTGACAAAGGGTCATATTTCACCTACAGGATCCCTGGGCCTTTGCTGTGAGTCTGACTACCGAACTAACCCATCCCAGAGCTTCTTGTCACCAGAGCAAGCAGGAGATAGTGATGTCTTCTCATTGAGGTATCCCTGGGCTTTGCTCTAGAGTATCAGTATGGAATAATTTCTCTAGTTTAGGCTGATATGAAATAAGCTGATGTCTGTTTGTGAGTACGCTGACACACTATAGAGAGCAAACTTGAAAACTTCATTTAAATACATAAAACACACTAATGGATAGAGGCCGTACATATGGATGTATTTAACCTAACAAGTATGCCCAAACTAGTACATAAATCTTTTTAAATTCCAGTTTTAAAATCACAAAAGATTAGTATGCATGAGTGCATGAAGCCCACTGACCTGACTGGATTATAGAATCCAGGGGCAAGGATGAGTAAGTGTTCAAGACAGCCATGGTCAAGCTGGAGTGAGGAGAGAGAGGACAGCGTAGCACAGACTGAAGTTACACAGATAATGTGGCACTGATCCAGAGTTCCTAATTAGGCACATGGTCCTCACAAATGACAGACCAGACAACTAGTTCACTGGGAATGACATTGCTTTGCAGACAATAAGAAGTCAGGTATTATCCAGAATTGGTTGGACTGGAACTAATCAAATCAAAGGGCTCTGCAAGAGGTGGCCACCCCTGGGCTGAAAAGACACACTGAGAAGTCTTGCAAAGTTGATGCACCAGAATATAAAAGATAATTCCTGGTAATTAACAAGAAAAGAGAATACACCCTTAAATTAACACATGGTATGGGAAACAAAACCCAGCATCTCTAGCAAGGAGAGAATGAGGAGCAATGAAACTGTATGAAATGGGGGCATCCAAACATTTTTTTAACAGTTTCCAAATTATCTATGGAGTATCATCAGAACATGTATGTGGCACTGAACAAAAGATGCTTGTCCTAGCCCTGCTAGGATGAAGTCATTCCGTGGCAGTTCCAGCCCATGTATTTATAACATTTGTATGCATGTCAGGGGTGATTTTCAGGGGATAAATTATCTCAGCTTTGGATGAAATGACAGACACTACATTAAGATTATTTCCCATCTCTTATAACACTGCCTGAGATTTTAATATTTAATGCTTATCTTTGTAGTTATCTATGTTACAAAACAGTTTATGGGATGCTGTTATTCAGTCAGTTTCCTGTTACAAATATTTATTCTTTTTCAGTCATTACAGGGTGGTAAACACCAACTAACCTAGTTGCAGGATTAAGTAATTGAAAGAACTCAAACTTTACTATGCTTTCTTTGCTGTGATCAAACTGCTGAGGGTGTTTTCAAAACATTTGCTATCTAACTATATTTTGTTTAGAATTATTTTGTTTTGTTGCAAGTACTATTTTGTTTCTTCTTCTTTTTTTTTTTAAAGAAAGGGTTCCTCTATGTAGCTTTACAGCCTGTCCTGAACTCGCTCAGTAGATCAGGCTGGCCTCAAGCTCAGAGAACCTCTTTTCTCGTCCCCCTGAGTGCTGGGATTAAAGGCATGTGCCATCACCACTGGGCTTATTTTATGTTGCTTAAGGTTTTGTTGTTTTGAGACAGGGCCTCATGTATTCAAGATTGGCCTTGAATTCACTATCTATGGAGCTGAAGATGACCTTGAAGTTCTAATACTTAGTATAAGGTCACAGGTCTGCACCACTATACTCAGTTTCATTATTTCTTAGTTTTTTTTTTTAAGATTTATTTATTTATTACATATTCAGTATTCTGCCAGAAGAGGGCACCAGATTGAATTGTAGATGGTTGTGAGCCACCATATGGTTGCTGGGAATTGAACTCAGGACCTCTAGAAGAAGTCAGTGCTCCTAACCTCTAGAAGAAGTCAGTGCTCCTAACCTCTGAGCCACCTCTCTAGCCCATATTTCTTAGTTTTATAGTATCTTTGATTCTCTGTCATGTTTCCCATCATTTATATATTTGTGTTTGTTTATTTCTTTGTTTTGAGGCAGGTTCTCACTGTGTAACTCTGGCTGGCCTGGAATTCACTTTGTGAACCATGCTGGCCTTGAATTTACAGAAATCAGACTGCCTGAGCTTCCTGAGTGCCACCATGCCTGGCATCCTCTATTTTATTTTAGGTGCCTTCATTGTTCTTTGGGATAATTTGTTCATCCCGACCTAGAAAACTTCTCCATCAATCTTGGGGGAAGAGCCATCTGCTAGAACACTGTGTGACCCAGATGCACAGCTGGGAAGGTATGTCCCAAGCCATCCCTAGAAAGGGCTGCTGGGCTTCAGTATCAGGTAGCTCCTTGACATCTGTTCTTCCATGGCTGCTGCTGAACATCAGCTCTCGTCTTTGCCTGCATTTGCACATCTTCATTGCTTTGCTGAATTCTGTTTGTGTTTTATTTGTTAAGCAGCAATATGAGGAAACCAACTGGAAACAACTAGACCCTGCACTTGGAGTCCAATTCAGATAGTTAAGAACTGAAGACAAAGAGAAAGAGACAGAGACTCTGTGTGTGTGTTTGTACACTACTGCTACTGTGGATTGAATTCAGTACCTTATGCATGGAAGACAAGCACTCTCCCAACAGAACTACATCCCCAGCTTCTTTCTAGAATTTAAACTGGAATTTCCCTGTCTTATACTCTAGGCTTGAGACAGCAGCACTTTCACAAGTGCCTTTGCACAAATTTCCATATAGTCTGCTATTCTCTTGGCTTTGTTCTTTCTAGTCCAGTGGGACAGAGCCACATTTTGAATGGCATCTTTTAAGCTAGTTCCTAAGAACTCTGAAAACACCAAGCTTTCTTGACACTTCAGTCCCTGTTCAGGACACACATGTTCTGCTGGGCCTGACTTCAAGTAGAGGGTCAGTTTGGAGGCAGCTTCTACCTTCTCTTCTTCCTAGGGACACTAGCCACTTCCCTTTAGCTCCTGGCCCTTAGGGTGTAGTTGATGCCTGGGTTGCAGTGTGAGGTAAGGGAGTTCTGGAGCCTCCAAGTCTAGACTGGTTCCAGCTGTTATCAGCCAGCCACAGGACCTGGTATAACCACCTTGACCAGGCCTCGGCTTTGGGTTTTTTCCCTATCACTCATATGTGGCTGCTACTCCTGAGGGTAAGAAGAGGTACCAGCCCCACTGCAGGCTGTCAAAATAGGAGCCAGAGACTCTAAGATTCTTGGAAGGCATAAGGGATCCTACTCTTGAGTCTCCTCTCTCCCTTCCATGGAGCCCACACATAAGTCAATGTCTCTAAAACCATTCTATGGCAGCCTTCACCCTCCAAGGGTCAACAGGGTGCTGCAGAGTCTTGACAGTAGAAGCAGCCTGCAGCCGCCGAGTTCCAGGCCCAGCCCCTGCTTGCCCAAGACCAGGCTCTCACCTGAGGGATCCCAGACAGCTGTGGTTCAGCTTCAGATGGATCAGGTTAGGGAGGTGCACTCCTGTGGGCCACAAGAAGGAGAGGTTGGCCCAGCCCCAACAATCCTGCCCACCTCTTTGTAGTGCTCCCCACACCCCCAAGGGGCATCAACATCTGAAGGACTATTCTCAGGCTGTTCATGGTCTTTCCTGGCTCACAGAGGGACTGGTAAGATGGGGCCTCTGCAGGGTCTGGCCCAGGTGTTCTGAGCCTTCTCTCCCCTCGCCTTACATGCAGAGGCTACACGCCCTTCCACCCATCTACAGCCTAGCACAGGTAAAATAGGTGCAGAAGGTGAACACCCTGGCAAGGACTTGACTTGAAGAAGGGGAACCAGGTTGGCATGGATGAACCCTGAGCATATCCCCTCCTTGGTCCCCAGGGCCTGAAGCACCCCCTTGGAGGTCTTTCAGCGTGCAACATTAGGCAACAAGTCCTGCACAGCCTAAAGCTCCAGGAGAAGGTCTCCATTCTCAAAGCTTCTTAGGGTGAGACTCTGGCTCTATGAGACAGAATCCCTGAATGATGAAGAGAGATATAGTGTGGTCTATACGGCCCCAAGAGGAGCTGGTGTCCCCTGATGGCTCAGTGCACAGAGATGTTGCACTGAGCCATGAAACCCTTGAATGGAAAGCTGAAAACCAAGCTAACTGGGATTTGAGGTGTTTAACTTCACTTGTAATCAGAGAAAAGCAAACAAGATACACAACTATCCTGAACAGCAAGACTCTTTCCTGTTGGGATGGTTGGTGTAATCTGAACAAGGTCTGTGACATAGATAAGAGTGCTCTATCAGTGTCCTTTTCTGACTTGGATCATTATACTGAGAGTATTTAAGATAATGTTCTCCTTAGGAAGTAGGTATTGAAGCATTAGTGAACAAGAAAAGTCTCTCAAACATTTTTAAAAAGTGTGTGTGTGTGTGTGCGTGCGCGCACACACACACACACATGAGAGAGAATGGTGGAAATCTCTAGCAATTGCAGAGGGGGATTTCTGGAGGAAGAGTACCTGAGACATCAATATAACATCTGTGAAATGTGTCTATAAATTCAAAATCCTTTCCAAATAAACTCTGAGAGCACCTTGTGTGGGAGCATAGTACCCTCAATTTTGCCATACTGGAACTGGTATTTGGGTGTGATTCCTGAAAAGTCATTTTGGAATATATGCCCTGGGCTAAAACGTATTTCTAAGCTGACTATACATCTTAGTTCTTTGGTCCAATTTTTTTTTTTTTTTTGGTATTCACGAGACAGGGTTTCTCTGTATTGTTTTGGAGGCTGTCAGTACAGCCTGGCCTCGAAATCACAGAGATCCGCCTACCTCTGCCTCCCGAGTGCTGGGATTAAAGGCGTGTGCCACCACTGCCCGGCTCTTTGGTCCAATCTTAAGGAAAGGGATATGCTGTCCAAGGTATTTGCTAGCTTTTCATTTACAACCAGGAAATACAGTTGGCTCATGGGAAGGTCAAGTTGTAACAGTTTCAGGGGCATGATTGTGACCAGCGGCTCTCACCGAAGTTCCCCAGGCTGTTCTTACGGGTGTCCACACACATCTCCAGCACCCTCACCAGTTGAAGGTCATCTATCTGGGCCAGGGCCTGCTGCAGAAATCATCAGGTGTCACTCCCCGTTTTCTCCATGCTTTTGGCTGAGGACTCTGTAAAGGTGCCTACTGGAGCAGGTGGCAAACGTCCCCCCTGCCTCATCCAGGGTGGGCATGACATGAGCAGAGGTCATAACTGACTATGGGGGAAGGAGTGCTGTCAGGGAAGGGCCTGTGTGTGTGGGGCCAGTCTCTGTATGAGACCTTTAGAACAGATCCAATAATGCAGTTGGAGCCCAGAGACCTGCTGAGCAGCACCCAGCCACAGCATACCTGGACCAGAGGACACACAAAAAACTCATGCTGGAAGTCAGAGGTGGGGGCTGACTGGTCTGTCTGTTCTTGTAGATGGACTACACAAGCCCCCCCTTTTTGAGACAGGTTTTCACTGGATAGCCTTGACTGTCCTTGAATTTGTTCTGTAGACCATGCTGGCCTTGAACTCACAGAGTTCCACTTGCTTCTGCCTCCTGAGTGCTGGGATTAAAGGTGTGAGCCACCCCCCCCCCAGCTTAGACAAGACTTTCTTGTATATGAAATGCAAGCATGGTCTCTCAGGATCCTGGGCCACACCTACTATGGCATCAGAGGACACCTTGGGAAACACATGGAGGTTCTGGCCTAGCAGGCTAAACAGTTATTCTGAGGAGATCCTGGGGTGATACCATCTATCAAGATTCTCTCCTTCATTGTGGCGAACCACAAGTAGCAAACTCTAAGTCCTGGGAGTTTCAGGGTTGACCAGATGGACTCTATGAAGCCTTAGGACTCAGGGATGGGGTATACCAATAGGCTCTCATACTGAATTTGGAGGAAAGTCTTTACCTGCTGCCAATATAGTCAGCATACCAAGGACAGACCCTACCTACCTCAGACAGGTTGAGAGGAGACTGAAGAACTCTAGCCTTGAGAGGGGAGCCATACGCCATGGCCAGCTGCCCTTCTAGCATCCCAATATGTCACCTCCTAGTCCTCCCTGCTGCAACATCAGCTCTTGAGTAAGAGGCTTCTTGTCTGCTTGAGCACAGGCCTCAGCCAATAGTTATGGAACCCTGGCCCAACAGTGCCATCTGTGATCTCAATGCCTAGGGATGCTTGTGTCACTTGGGTTGCAGGTAGGGACCCCAATGGTGGACAGGTAGGGGGTACCTAGCAGAGGGAAGGCTGGGTATCAGCAGAAAGGGTGCCAGTATGTCACCTCATGCAGACCCACGGCGGAGCCTCAGGTCCAATCACTTACCAGCCGAGCAGGGGAAAGGTGCTCCTCCACCCGCCGCTCCCTGTGGATATCCCCAAGGCTGCCCAGTCTCTTGTTTTGTGGGCAGGGGTTGTTTAGGCCCTGCCAGCTCAACTCCCGTACCCGGATACTAGCTGTGCCTGGTCGAGGCCCCTGGGATCCATCCCAGGCTGGGTCCATCCACATCCAACCTGTTAGGAGAGGCAGAGGGCCAAATCTCCTAGTTTACAAGGCTCTAGTTCACATCAATGGCCCACAAAACTGCTATGTCAATTCTAACATCTCCCCTCATCCCAGCCTGACTTGGCCTGGCCTGAGGGGCCTTGGGCAACATCAGTGGTCTAGGTAACTGGACAGTACATGTCCACTCCTCTACTTTTAACACAGACTTCCTGCTTGTGATAACAACTATTTCTCTCCTTTCTGTATTTTGAAAAAAATAAAAGAGATGTATTTATCTGTTTTATAAAATTTGTGTGTGTGTGTGTTAGTTTGTGTGCATATGTGTGCATGTGGAGGCCAGAGGACAACTTTGGGTTCCATCCCTCAGATCCCATCCTCCTTTTTTTTTTTTTGTTTTTTGGGTTTTTTTGTTTGTTTTTGAAATAAGGTCTCTCACTGGACTGTGGCTCACCAAATAGGCTAAACTGGCTTGCCAGCAAGTCACAGGCACCTACCTGTCTTTGTCTCCCCGGTGCTGTGATTACAATCTCACACCACCATGTCTGGCATTCTATATGTGAGTTCTGGGGATCAAACTCTGGTCTTCATGCTTACAAGGTAAGCTACTTACTGTCTGAGCTATCTCCCTATTCCTTTATTTGGTTCTATATTTGTTTTCTACAGTGTCCATGCAGTGAGTACTGGCTCCAGGCTTTGCCATCTTGGGTCTGTGAACCGAGGCTGGAAAGACAGCTCTGTGGTTAAGAGCATTTGGATGCTTTTGCAGAGGACCTGTGTTTTGATTCCTAGCATCCATACTGGGTAGCTCACAAATGCCTGTAACAGGGATGGATCAGCTGCCCTCTTCTGGCCTCTGGGGGCTCTTGTACTCTGTGGTACACAAACACACACACAGAGGCATGTATATATAAAATAAAGAAAAATTTTAAGACTAGGGATACCGGACAAGATGCCTGTATCGACCAGCAGTCACCTGTTACTGGCAGTTCCCCAGGCTGCCCCAGACCCTGGCTCTGGATCTTTCTTCATTAATGGTTTCTTGAGTCTAGGTTCAGGCTCAAGATAGCAGACATTCCCTCCAACACCCCCCCCCCCCCCCACCGCTTCTCTGACTGAGGCCCCACCTGCAGGTAGCTGGCTCCTGCTGTAGGTCAAACATCCGGGCAAGGGGGGCACATGTGTCTACATGTAACACCTGTAAGAGAGAGTTAGATTAGCTTCCTGGCTGTGTCACTGTGCTAGGTCTGCAGACCTGGGCTGAGCTGGCCAAGGTCAGCTCAGAAGCAGCAGGTACAGAAATGGAGTGCCCTTAGCTGGGGGCCTGGTCCTGAACCCCCCGTGGCCATTTTAATGCGGGATAATGACGACAGTCAAGGGTCCTTCTGGGTCACCCACTGCAAACTAAGACACGGTCGTCATCCAAACCTTCTGTTTCTTCCACTCTAAAGGGGGTCCTGGGTGTGTGGTTCTCAATCTTCTGTAGGCCCGCCTCTCCTGAACTCCTTCCCATACTTCTGGAGGAAGTTTCTCTGGCAGCAGGCTCACCTCACCTAGTGTTCCTCCTTAAAGATACTGAGGTCTGTGTTTGAACTCAACAGTCTTGGGCTGTAGTGAGAACTCTGCCCAGAACATTCTTCTTGGCCACCATCCTGTCGTCCCTGACCTCCATCCAGGTTTGGCCAACCCCTCACTCCTGCACTTCCTGTCTATCCCAGACACATTTTTGTAGTAAGATTTACCTCTTTCCACGGACTTCTTATTTATTGCTTACTCAGTCTCCTGTGTCTTGCCCCACAAGATGTAAGCCCCACTCCAGGTTTCCCCTAGCATAAGGGACATGGAGAGGCAGTGCCCAGAGCTCACCTGAGGGGTGGGCCAGTATGCCCGAGTCCTGGGGCCCAGCCCTGGACCCCTCCACCGCGGTGGTCGCTCTCTCAAGTGAGGACTTTTTTATTTTTTCCTCTGCGTGGGGTTGCGGTCCTGGCGCCATGGCAACGGGGGCGGGGCCTTATTTGAATATCCAAATATTCGTGAGCCGCGGGCATCCGGGGCTGCGGCAAGATGAGCCCCACCCCCTAGCAACGGTTGCCGGGACACGCGGCAGGTCCGGTGGGAGGGCTCCCCAGAGTAAAGAAGGCAAGCAGGATCGCTGAGAAGACACCCACAGAGGTTCGGAGAGGTTCCCGTGTGGGGTTTCTGGCCCGCTCTGGGTTATCTGCCTGCTGGTCGCATCGGCTGAGCCTCGCTCGCACCCCGGGCAACACGTGAGCGCGCGCCCCCAGGCCTGCATCACCTGAGGAAAGCCCTGTCGATTTTCTAAGGAGGACTTGCTTACGCCTGTCTCTGAAATGTCAAAAAGTGTTGCAAATATGTCATTTCCGTCTGACACAGATGTACCCTACTTGCTTGAGTGGATGGAACATTTCCCCCTAATACCAACTTTTCTGACTTCCGGGGTCGTCCTTCAAATGGGGTGCAGTATGAGCTGCTGCAGGGTTGGGACCTCGATTTGGGGAAAGGTAAGGGAGGGTCTTCTCCAAAGCACAAGGAGCGCGGTGTGATGGGCCGATGCTGCCCCGGGATGGGGCATTCGCTACACCTCGGCCTACGAGAACAGGCAGCTTGGGGTTCCGGATGATTCTGCCTTCCTCTGGTATCCCGCGTCCGCGGTGCTGACTGTCCCCAACACCAGATTCCCGTCGGAATGACCTTTCCGCTCCCTGGGCCTTTAGGCCTCTGGTGCGGCTGCTGGGTGTGGGCTCTGTGGCAGGTCCTGCGACCCAACCCGAGCGTTCGCCAGTTTCTCTCTGGAGGACTGTCGGGCTCCATCACTCTCTTCCGCACCTCGGAACTAGGCGTCACTCATTGGAGTGCGGTATCCAGGTCGCGACAGTGCCCTCCCAGCCACTCCAGGAAGCCCCGCCTAGCTGCGGCTCCTGACGGATGGGTTGCTCAGCCAACCACAACAGGTCGCGGTGAGGCGGAGCTCGACCAATCACCGACTGTCTAGAGTTGACGGACGGGTGCTGGGCGGAGCGGGGCGGGGCAAGCGCGGGCCCGGCCGAGTCCCCGCGGTCCGCGCCCGGCGCCCGCAGCCCGAGCCGCACCCGCCGCGGACGGAGCTCATGCGCGGGCCCAGCCGGCGCCGGTCCGCGCCCCCGCCCTGCCCCGGCCCCGGCCCCGGGGGCAGTCACTCCAGCAAGCGGTGAGTGTGGGCGCGGGGTGGGACGCGGGGCGCAGGTGATCGGGGCTTCCCTCTCCTCTCCTCTCCTCCCGGCAGCGTGCCTAGCGCCCGGCTGCCCGCCTCTGCGGCCCGGCCTGCCCCGCCTGTGGCCGCCCTCCCGGCGAGGCGCCGCCCGGGCCTCGGGAGACTCTGCGCCCCGCGGCCATCACGCTCCGGCCTCGGGGCTACAAGGACACCCGCTTCGGGCCCCAATCAGGGCCTTCTGCTCCCCAGCCACCCCTCGCGCCCCTTGTGAGTCTTTCCCGCAGTCACCTGCTTTCCACACCCTCAGACGCTTTTTCCCCCCTGCTTGCTGTAGGCTCACTGGCCCCTTGTAGAAGGTCTGTCTCAGCGGAGGGCAGGGTCCCTCCCCAGCCACCCTTCCCCCGCTGCCGGGACCGCGCCTGGCATGCAGTAGGCGCTCAGTAAATACTTGTCGGTTGCACCCACATGCCGACGGGCCGGAGCCGGTTGTAGGCTGGCACTGGCCTGCCTGGGCACGCTGAGGCCGCCGTGGCAGGACCTGTTTTTGGGGGGTGGCCTCAGCCCTCAGGCGCCTCCAGTTGAGGCTTTCTGCCTACCTAGCGACTTCTAATTTGGGTGCGTGGTTGGGAGAAGCTCTCAGCTGTCAGCCCTGCCTTGGGGGCCTCTCCCTGCTTCCTCACACAGCCATTAAGTGCTGGTGGAGGAGGTGGGGGGGGCTCTCTGTCCCAGCTAGAGGTGCCACAGGTGAGTAACTGGGCCACTGTCGTGGCTGGCCTTGCTTCTCAATGCTGGCTAGGGCCTTTGGGTCAGGCACCTATTAGCAGTCTCAAGTGGCCCGGGCCTGGGTAAGTGTGGCTCTCATTGGCAGGTGGGGCAGGAGTTCCCGGAGTGGCAGCCTCTATAGAAGCGATGACAGAATACAAGCTCGTGGTGGTGGGCGCTGGAGGCGTGGGAAAGAGTGCCCTGACCATCCAGCTGATCCAGAACCATTTTGTGGACGAGTATGACCCCACCATAGAGGTGAGCTCTGGCTACCTGCCTGGGCTCTGGCAGTGGTCATGGAAGAGTCAGGAAAGGCCCACACAGCTAGGTCTTGCAGGTGGTACGAGTCTGTTTCCACCTGATCTAACAGGGCATGAGAGGTGCAAGGGTAGGCGGGCTCTTGGCATCTCTGAGGAGAGGTGGAACCCCTAAGCTCTGTTCTTCTGCAGGATTCCTACCGGAAACAGGTGGTCATTGATGGGGAGACATGTCTGCTGGACATCTTAGACACAGCAGGCCAAGAGGAGTACAGTGCCATGAGGGACCAGTACATGCGCACAGGGGAGGGCTTCCTCTGTGTGTTCGCCATCAACAACACCAAGTCCTTTGAAGACATCCATCAGTACAGGTGAGTTGCCTATGGCTAGCACAGATGAGGAAGGGTCTGTGTACACATCGAGGGTTTATGTCTTCTGAGTGTCCTGGGTACAGCCATGTGTGTAGCCTGCTGGCCAGCTCACATACTCCCCATCCCCTTCTAGGGAGCAGATCAAGCGGGTGAAGGACTCAGACGATGTGCCAATGGTGCTGGTGGGGAACAAGTGTGACCTGGCCGCTCGAACCGTTGAGTCGCGGCAGGCCCAGGACCTTGCCCGCAGCTATGGCATCCCCTACATTGAAACATCAGCCAAGACCCGGCAGGTGAGCTTGCTCCCCTCTCCACAGCTAGTCAGGGACTCACCCCACCCCACCCCAGCCAGGGAGCAGAGCTCATCGCCCCTCTCCCTCAACACAGGGCAGCCGCTCTGGCTCTGGCTCCAGCTCCGGGACCCTCTGGGACCCCCCGGGACCCATGTGACCCAGCGGCCCCCATGCTGTAAGTCTCCCAGACGGCAGGGCTGTGAGGGAGGCAAGGGCCAGGGTCTGGGCTTATGCCCTGCAGTTCTGGGTTGACACAGCGCCAGGACAGGAGGGGGTCCATGGAGAGAGCTGCCCTGAGCCAGGCCGGAGCGGTGACCCAGGGGCTTAGTCCTTCCTGTCTTCATAGTGTCCTATGGCTACCTGATAGTTTTGAGCCCTTAAGTATGGTCAGGGTGTTCATATCTGAGCCATACTGGGGATCTGGGAGAGTTCTGAGTCAGGTTGCTCTGAAGAATATTCCAGAGTGAGCCTGCTTAAGCAGAGTGGTCCTGTGCCTTTTAGATGTGCGGAGCCCAGCTCCCTATTTGTGTTGGTTATGCAGCTGAGGAAGGGTTGTTTTCCAGGGTTGGGGTGTTACCTGATGCAGGCAGGGAGTTTCTTACCCAGACAGTACCCCTTTCCTCCTCAGAGTTCCCTCTGACCCAGTCCCTCTGTTCCCAGGGTGTGGAGGATGCCTTCTACACACTAGTACGTGAGATTCGGCAGCATAAACTGCGGAAGCTGAACCCACCCGATGAGAGTGGCCCTGGCTGCATGAGCTGCAAGTGTGTGCTATCCTGACAGCAGGTGAGGCAGGGACCAGCCGACATCTGGGGCAGTGGCCCCAGCTAGCCAGATGAACTTCATATCCACTCTGATGTCCCTGCTCCCCCCATCCTGCCAATTCCCCTGCCTGCGGTCAGTGGTGTCCTTTGTGCCCGTCTCGGCACAGGCTCACGACGTGGAGGTGCCGGATGCAGGGAGGAGGTGCAGACGGAAGGAAGGAAAGAGAAGGGAAGGAAGGAAGGAAACGATGCTGGAGCCAGTCCAGTCCAGGGATGGTGGACAGAGGTGACCAAGACCTTCGCATGGACAATTTGAACAGACTGTCATGAACTGTCCCTATTGCCACTGGCACCCCAGTCCTCAACCCCTCTCAGTTCCCTTTGGGCGCCTATGGGGCACAGGTTGAATCACAGTAAATTATTTGATGGTCTTGACTTGTCTCTGGCTGGGAGCAGGAGGTGTAGTGCCTGTGACCTCACAGGAGATACTGGGAACCTGGGGTTCATCATCTGCCTTCTTCCGGTCTCTGAGAAGAGGATGGGGTGGCTAGCCTGGGACCCTGGGCTGCACGGTTCTTCCCTTCTGCCTGCCCCAGCTGTCTGGGGTTTCCTGAAGAAAGCTATAGGCAACACAAGAATAGTCAGGTGGCCTGAAAAGTGACCTATTGTCCTTTAACTAATGGGGGGAGGAGGGCTTTAGAGTAAGGGGGAATCCCTTGTCTCCAGCAGGAAACACATTTCCTGCATTCTGGAATCTGAAGTATAGCCCCAGGGATTGCAGAGTGTAAGACCTGCCCTGCCCCAGCATCCTGGAGCCCTCTGACCAGTGATGGGGATTCTAGGACTCTGGAAATAGGGCCTCAGTGTTTTCTGTGTGGTCTCAGACCTCTGTCTCATCAGTACCTAGAGCCTAGCAATCTCAACTCCCTGAGAGGGTAGAAGCTGCCTTACCAGTTCCTACCACTTCTCCAATGTGTACAGATGTTCTCCAAGTCACCTGTATGGTCTTGAGAGATACATGCCAGCCTGTGACCTCCCAGGAGATACTGGGAACCTGGGGTTCATCATCTGCCTTCTTCCGGTCTCTGAGAAGAGGATGGGGTGGCTAGCCTGGGCCAGTGAGCAGCTGCTGGCATGAGAGATACATGCCAGCTGCTGCTCACTGCTCCCAAAGGGCATGCCATGCCTAGTGCCTCATTCTAGCACTGGTCATGGCTACGGGAGGGCCCATCTTCTTATCCTGGTCTCTTCCTGTGTGCTGGGTCCCTTAGTCTCTCTCAAGATTCATGTGGAACTGGGTGAACTCCCTCTTTTGCAGTATAAGGAAGCTCCTATAGGCATAACCTAGGGCCTGCT